AAATTGAAAACAGAAAAACAATAGAGAAAAATCAGTGAAACCAAAAGCTGGTTCTTTAAACAGATCAATAAGACTAATAAATTGACCAAGTAAAAAAGGGAGAGAAGGCACAATTTACCCATATTGGGAACAGAAGATGAGACATTGCTATAAATCTACATATATTAACAAAACTATAAAGGAATATTACAAACAACTCTACACCCATAAATTTGACAAGTTAGAGGAAACAGACAAGTTTCTTCAAAGGCACACATTACCAAAGTTCACTCAAGGAGAAATTAATAACCTGCATAGTGCCACATTTACTAAAGAAATTGAATTCATAGTTAAAAACCTTCCAACAACAAATATACAAATATATATAAACAAAGATATATGCATGCATAACAGAATGTCATAACAGCTTTATTAAACAATTTTGAAAACTTAGATGAAATAGACAAACTCTTAGAAAAATGACTTACTAGATCTGACTCAAGGAGAAATCACAGTTCTATGAATGGTTCTATAACTATTAAGAGATTTAGGCTATGGTTAATTATCTTCCCACAAAGGAAACACCAGGCCCAGATGGTTTTACTAAATTTTCAAGGAACAAATCATCCCAACTTTACATGAACACTTGCTGTGACTATCAACCCAGTTTGTAAGTGGTCTCTTTGTTTTCTTTCAGGTGTTTTTATGAACAGGGCTTTTTTATATGGTCAGATTTATCATTCTTTTCTTATCTTGTTTACAAATATTTCCTTTCCCAAGTTCAAGAAGATATTAACTTTTGTTTTCTATCAAGAATTTAAATTTTTGCTGTTGACATTTAGGCCCTCAATCTGTCTGGAGTTGATTTTTTATTTTTAGCCTGACAAAATGATCCAATTTCATTTAGGTAAACACTTTTTGTGCAGCTCCGTTTAACAGTTCTCCTTTAACATATTGATCAGACTTCTGATTCTGTCGTTTAATAATATTCTGTACTCATGTAAGTCCCTTGCTGGGCTCTCTATTCTACTTATTGATCAATCTATCTACTTCTACAGTAACATGCATTATCTGATTTACCTTCGCAGAAATTTCTCATGTCTGGTAGGGCCAGGCCTTGTGGCTGTTCCTGGCTCTTTATTCCTCCAGCTTCAATCTCATGGTTAATTGCAATCCTTTCCTTTCAATTACTCTCAACTCCCACGTCCTTCTTCGATTACGTTCACCTGACTATATCCCAGCCCAAGCCTTGTTAAAACCCAGCTCTACCTAGTCACTACACTAATTGAATCTGAAGAACACACAAAACCATACTGACTGATGTAGCTTCATAACTAGTTTCAAATGTGCCCTCAGACCTGTTCAACAATCCTACATTCTCTAGCCAATCTATCATCACACACTTCTAGATTAGGAGGCAAAACTTAATGTTGAAACCTTATCCTTAATATGATGGTATTAGTAAAGTGGGGCCTTTGGAATGTGATTAGGTCATGAGCCCACAAGAATGGGATTACTGCCCTTATAAAGAAACCCCAATATGTCAATTATATCTCAATAAAATTTGAAAAAACAAACAAAACAAAAAATAAATTAAGAGACATCAGAGAGCTGCCGTGGCCCTTCTGCCATTTGAAGTTATAGCAAAAAGAGAGTCACCTATGAACCAGGAAGTGGGCTCTCCACGAGACACTGAATGTTCCAGCAGCACCATGATCTTGGGCTTCCCAGTCTCCAGAACTGTAAGAAATGAATTTCTGTAGTTTATAAGCCACCCAGCCTACCGTAATTTGTTATAGCAGACCAAACGGACTATGACATCATTCCTTAGCAAAGCAAGGGTACTGAAGTTATTTACCCTTTAGTGTTATGAGAATTAAATGAATTAGTACATGTAAGGCACCTAAAATAGTATGTGGCACAAAGTACTATTTAACTCTAGTATCGCTTCCCTGGGTCCTGATTTCACATCCTACCCTCTGTCCTCAAACCTCTTCTCCCTACTCTTCCTCTTCACTGATGACCTTCATGCTTATCTCATTGAGAAAATAGATATCAAAAGAGAACGTCCACATTTCCCATCAACAAATCTTCCACTTTACTTGCAGTTGTACCCCTATACTCTGCCTTCTCTATAACCATAGATAAATTGTTACCATTCCTGAGATCGATTCTTCCACTTGGGCACCCCTCTAGTTTACTCAAGGACTTGCTCATGCAATTATTCTTTCTCTAATGAATTATCCACTTTTTCTTCTCTACTAGAACAATCCCATCAGCATACAAAGATGTCATGAAATCTGCAATCTTAAACCCATCCTGACTCCACAGGCCCCTCCAGATATAGCCCCTTTCCTCTGCCTATTATACAAAAATTATTTGCAAAAACTGTCGGTAGTTGCTGTCTACACTTCCTTCCCTACCATACGCTATTGACTCCAATCAGGCTTACATCTTCACCACTGCATGGGATCCCCACTTGACAAAGTCACCAATAACCTCCACATCACCAAATCCAAAAGACAACTCTCAATTCTCATCTTACCCTCCTTTCACGCTTGCTCACTTCCACATTCTTCACTTGGCTTTGGTTAAAGTACAGCACTGGCACCTCCTTTTCAACCTGTTTTGCCAGCATTGGCCACTCCTTCTCAGTCTGTTTTGCTTCACCTGCTTCTCTTTCATATCACTAAGTTTTGGTAAGCCCAGGGCTCAGACCTCCAACCTTTCTCTGCTCTACCCACAGTCATCCCCTAAGCGGTGTCACTCCGACCCATGGCTTTCAATGCTACCTATTCACCGATGACTCCCCTGAGCTCCGTATCTACACCTGTCCATTTCCCATCCCTACCTGATTGCATAACAGGCATCTCAAATGTAACGCATCCATATCAGAACTCTTGGTTCCCCCTTCTAAATCTGCTCCTCTCCCAGTATTTCCCACTCAGTAAATAACACAACCTGCACGCAATTGTGTAGGTTGAGCTCCTCTCTCACATCCTACAGTCCTTAGCAAATCCTGCTGGCTCTAAAACGGTATCTCTAATCCAACCATTTTTGACCACCTCCATTGAGAATTCAAGCCATCATAATCTTTCAAATGGGCTATTGCAACACTCTCCCAGCTGGCCTCACAGATTCATCTCTGACAGTTTTTTCTGCTCACAATAGCCAGAGTGATCCTACAAAAAACATAAATCCTATCTTGTTACTCCCCTGCTCAAAACTTTCCAGGCATTCACTCACATGAAGAGTAGCAGTCTTCATCATACGGCTTCCCATGACCCTGTGCACCTCGCAAACCTCATCTAGTACCACACTGCTCTTCACTCACGGTGCTCCTCCTCCCCGATCCTTCCGGCTTATAAAGCGCCAGTTCATTCGACTTGTGAATCCCTCATCTTGGAACGCTCTACCCCATACGCTTCTTTGAATGACTCCCTCTCTTCAGGATCTCAGCTCAAATGTCATCTCCACAGAGATGGCTTCTTAAACCACTCTATCCAGAGTAGCCACCCCCATCACCAAGTTCCTGTGATCTAACCAACTGTATTTGCACTTATCACTGTGTAAAACTATCTTGTTTACTTTTAAATATATGTATTTTTCTGCCTTCTCGCACCTAAAATATAAACTTTATAAGAGCAAAATCTTTCACTCCCTTGTTAATTTGTATCCCCAGTGCCTAGAACAGTGCTTGGCACAGACAAGCTATTTTAAAAAATAGTTGTGGGATGAACCAACACGCCAGAAATCTCTATTTCATTCGACAAAAAAAAAAAACCCTCAGATTTAAAGAGTTAATTAATCACCCAAGGTCGCACAACCAGTTAAGTGGCAGCTTTAGGGTTTGAGGCCTGGTTATTTATTTATTTACTTATTTATTTCTGGAGGCCTGTTTTTTAATTACTACATCACATTGCTTCATTAATTTTTTTTTTTTTTCAATTTACCATGGTGCTTGTGAGCAGGAGTTAAGGCTAAGAGATCCAATTTCCCAAACCATTAGCACGAGGCCCAGGCTCTATAACACGGAGACCTCTCCTTCCTCCTACCTAACGCCACTAAGCCCCGCCCCCGTGGGGCTGTCGAGAGCGCCTGCGCTGTGCGTGAGTCTCGCGCAGAGGGTGCAGGGATTCGTAGTCCACGTTCCTTCCGTCTCCGACATTCACATGAAAAGAATTAAACAACAATGAAAATTAGATATCGCTGAGTTGCACACAAATTAAATAAGACGTAGATTCTGGAAAGTGGTGCAAACTTGTCTTTTTCGAAGGTGAGGTGCAAGCCTCGGACCAGGCGCTGCACAGTCAGCCGCACGGGCCCTTGGCTGGGCGGGGCTTGCTCGCGGTGGCTTGTGGCTCCTTCCTGTGCGGCTTCTCTCTTTCGCTCGGGCCTGTGGTGCCGGCAGTATGGGTGAGCAGCCTCGGGCAGGGTTTTTGGGATCGCAAGTGAAATTGGGGAGGTCTCGGGGTCTGGAGGGCGAATAGAAACAGCGTGAGGAAGACGCCACAGGGAGGACCGATGGGGGAGGGCCGAGGAATCGCTGCTCCCGCAGCACATGGCCGGAGGCCGAAGGGGCCCAGGCGACAGAAGCCGCGGAGCTCGAGTTACTGGGGGACCCTGGGTGGCCCACCCTGACCCTGAACGTCGGCGTGGGGGCCTCATGCTTTTGGGAAAGCGCACCCATTGGAGCGCTTGTGTCCAGTTCTTAGTTGGTTCAAGGAAAACTTGGGAGATTTAGGCCGTGTACCAAGATGTGATGCCAGAGCCTAAAGGCGTGTGTAGTCCAGGCGAGGTTAGTGTCTTAGAAGATGAAAAACGTGATCGGGGCGTTTTTGCGGCGGAACTAAGGTGGTTTTGGTTTTTAGGCAAGTGTCGAGGTCTTCGTACTGCCCGGAAGCTCCGGAGCCACCGACGAGATCAGAAGTGGCATGATAAACAGTACAAGAAAGCCCACTTGGGCACAGCCCTGAAGGCCAACCCTTTCGGAGGCGCATCCCATGCAAAGGGAATTGTGCTGGAGAAAGTGTAAGTGAAAATAAAACTGCCGTTTCCATCAAGGTTTATTTTATTGGGGTAAATCAAAACAACTGCATTTCAAGAAGTGGTGTAAATTTTAGGTCTTTGCACACCCATACTTGAAAGTTGACGATAACGAGAGGGTTTGGCGATAGGTAACCGAAGTTTTTAATCTTTTAAAATTAGCTTGGAAGGAGTTGGGGTGTGGTTGGAGGGGACAAAGTAATAAAAGGGACAAAGCTTAACATGTGGACACTTGTAAACAGTTGGCACTTACTATTTAATCTTTCCAATGAATCACATCTTCCTACTTGAGAAAACTAAGGTAAAGAGAAGTTTCTTGTCTGAGGGAGACAGCTAAGATTGAACCATGAATTTGCCAGTACTCAATCGTTTTTTACTACAAAACAGTAATTTCATACGGTCCAATCAAATTTAGTGGCAGGCAGGATTTAAATCAGACTCTAGTCTTAATTCTTGTTTCATATAACTATAAAGGGACCACAGGTTTCCCCCATTGTGCTCATGAAACCTGATTGAAGTCACAGGAGTTTAGCAACGTAGGGTTCATTGAAACAGTGGTAACAGTACAATTTTAGGTAAGTTTTATGTTTGATGAACTAAAATGTATCCCTTTTCAGAAAGCCAGCTCACTTTTGTGCTGTTTTATGTTTCAGAGGAGTCGAAGCCAAACAGCCCAATTCTGCCATCAGGAAGTGTGTCAGGGTCCAGCTGATCAAGAATGGCAAAAAAATCACAGCCTTTGTGCCCAATGATGGTTGTTTGAATTTTATTGAGGTAAATGCTTCAGACTGTTGTAGACTGATTCGGTCTCATGTTCCCAGTGTGGTTTCCCTCAGTTTTTTAATGGTATTTTTAGTGATTGCCATCGGCACCAGTAGTAAACTGTTGGTTTTATTCCAGGAAAATGATGAAGTTCTGGTTGCTGGATTTGGTCGCAAAGGTCATGCTGTTGGTGACATTCCTGGAGTCCGCTTTAAGGTTGTCAAAGTAGCCAATGTCTCTCTCTTGGCCTTATACAAAGGCAAGAAGGAAAGACCAAGATCATAAGTTTTGCTGGTGAAAACACAGTAGTAATAAATTTTCATATGCCAGAAATGTGTTGTGTCTTATTTCCTTTACCAAAGAGATGTATGCTTTACCAATTTTAGGATACTGGGAAAGCATTTAATTCAGGAGTCTCTAGAGTAAATAGGATTCATAATAAACTTTACCCCCTCTCCTGGGATAAACAAAACAGTAAATCTGGAATAAATAAACGTACAGCATTCCTGTATGCAGGACTTAATGCTCACTGAATTACTAGCAGGATCACCTTGGGAACCCTTGACAATGCACATTCTTAGATTCATTTTCCTGAGGACACAATATAATGCTACCATCTAGTTGCTCCATGCTCTGGTTTTTGCAAATCTAAAGGCCAGGATCCATGTTGTAATTCTGTGTTCATGGCAGCAAAGTTTAGGCATTGGATGATTTAATAGGTAGCAGTTAATGGAAGTGAATGCCCGGCAAATGAAGACAGAGAAAAAGATGAAGAGCAAGGGAGATCAGGTATAGAAAGATTGACGTAAATGCTCTTTGTCCTGAGCCTGTCAGTAACTGATATCTTGACCTTGAGGTTTACTTTTGAGCCCACAAAATAATGTGCCTCAGACCCAAAAGTAAAACAGCCTGCCTGGTTCTGCCTCCTGTGTATTCCACCAAATGACCCATCATTCTTGAGTACAAAACTTAAGATCCTAGCACCTTTTGTAGAAATAATTATATACGAAGGCAATATTAAAAATGAATTTTGGAATCACAAAACCTGGTTTTAAGACAATTTATAGCTGCTGTAGTTGAGGGTGTGGTATTAGAGGAGGGACAGGTCAGTAGATTCAATGAGCTCTCCATGTATGGTCAATTTTTGATAACTAGCAATTTAATGGAGGAAGGTAGTTTCAATAAATAACTACAGACCTCTATTTGAAAAAAAAAAAATGGACCTCAACCTAAATCTCAGAGCTTATATAAAAATTAATATATCTGAATAAAATGTAAAGCTATAGAACTTGGAGAAAACATGATTTAGGGTTAGGTGAATGGTCTTAGACATTACACCAAAAGCACAGTCCATACAAAAATACTGGGTTATTTGGACTTCGTTGGTTACACACAAACTTATTCAATTTCTTGTGTCTTGAATTATTCATAAATTAAGTTTAAAAATTGTGAATGAGATATTTGTGTTACTTCATACTTGGCTAACAAAGCCCAAGATCAAAAACTTGCTGTGTGATCTAAGAGGATGAAAAGACAAAATAGGCTAGGAGAAAGGATGCATTTGCAAATCATATATCCAACAACGAGCTTTTGTATCTAAGATAAAGAACTTTCCAGTCTCAATCCAGTGACAAAATGGGCAAATGAACACACTTCACTGAAGAGATGGCAAGCACATGAAAAGATCGATATCATAATCCATTGGGAAAATGCAAATTATGAGGAAACAGCACTGCATCTATCAGAATGGCTAACGTTAGAGATAAATACTGGTGATCTTGGAGCAACTGAATCTCGGGAATATGCAATGGTAGTCACTGGAAAAGTTTGACAGTTTCTTAAGTTAAACATACAATCTAGCAATTGCACTCCTGGGTAGCTGTCACAGATGAAATGTCTACCCCCACAAAATCATGTGCATGCACGTTCATGGCAGTTTTATTGGAGATAGTCAAGAACTGGAAACAACCTAAATGTCCTTCAATGGGCAAACAGATTAACTGGTGGATATATCCATGAATGAAACTATTCAGTCATAAAGGAAATTTGTCACATGTGACAACTTCAGTGGAGCTCAGAGGTATTATGCTAAGTGCAAAAAGCCAATTCAAAAGGTTACTAAAAATGACAAAATTGTAGTGATGGAGATCGATGGTTGCCAGAGATTAAGGAATGACAGTCAAGTTGAACTATAGCAGGATGAGTTGTTTTGCAGTGACAGAACAATTCTGAGTGCAGGTTGTGGTGGTGTTTACACAAATCAATACTCGTGATGGAATTTCATAGTCGTATGTCCAAAAAAAAAATGCATATAAAAACTGGTGAAATACAAGGAAGATCTGTAGTTAATAGCATTGTACTAATGTCAATTTCCTGGTTTTGAAAAGATATTCTGGTTATCAAAGATGTTGTTTGGGAAAGATGGGTGAAGATTATACACAAACTACTTTTGAAACTTAACTTTTGAGTCTTTATAAATTAAAAAGTTTTTAAAAATTGTGGATGAGTAGTTAATTTGTGTTACCTCTTATATTTGCCTAGTAAAACCCAAACAAATAAAAAATTGTTAGAGCAGAAAGAACCTGGAGATCACTCAGCCCAGTGATATTCCCAGTTTCTGGGAATATCAATTCCCTAAGGCATTTGCTGGATTACAAACACTCTGGATCTTCTGAGAAACAATCTTTATGGTGTTTCAAGAGAAATGTCTTTGACAAACTGTCAGGCAATCTTTATGTAATCATCCCCTTGCTTTCTCCGTTTACAAGAGGAGGGAAGAAGGGGGAAAATCAGCAAGCTACTGATGTTACCCAGCCACCTCATCCTATAAGAAGTACAAAAGAGGTAGTTCCTAGTTATTTTTGAAATACTTTGCCCAAGTAATCAGCACAGCTGAAATCAGAACAAATAGCCTGTCCTCTAAATGAAATTGTTCATATAGGAGACACACCCCACTGCAAACAATACACATTGCCCTACAAGTAGCTATTTAGCCAGTTAAGGCATGGATTTATGCTGGCTATTTAGTGAGAGTTTTTGTGCCCATTTGAAGGGGAGAGTAGTAAAACATGATTAATAAATTTTCTGAGGGTTTATATGGAAATGTGAAAACACTCCAGTTAGTGGTGCTCTTTAAAAAAATGTAAACACAATGCCTCCATTATATGAGTTTTTTTCCTTTTAGTTTTTGAAAACTTGAGAGAGAAACAGTTCTGACAGCAATGCACATTTGAAT